TCAGCGAAGCGGGTGGGAAAAAAAAACCCTAAACCTTAAACCCCTAAACCCCTAAACCCTAAACCCTACACCCCTCAACCCCTAACCCCTAAACCCTAAACCCTAAACCCCTAAACCCTAAACCCTAAGGCAAACACTCGAGCCCAAGGTACGTGCTGAACCAGAAGCAGAAGCAGGTCGAGGCCTACGCGGGCAAGCTGACACTTGGGAGTTTCCGAAAATTAGGGGTTTAGGGTTTAGGGTTTGGGGTTTAGGGTTTAGGGTTTAGGGTTTAGGGTTTAGGGTTTAGGGTTTAGGGTGGTACCTTATTTTGGGGTCCTTAGTCCTTATATTAAGGATCCTATTATTTAGGGTACTATATTAGGGTCCCCTATTTTCAGAAAACCCCCACTTGGCCCAAACGCACAAGCCGCTTCTTTAGGGTTTTAGGGTTTAGGGTTTAGGGGTTTAGGGGTTTAGGGGTTTAGGGTTTAGGGGTTTTGGGCTTTAGGGGTTTAGGGTTTTGGGGTTCAGGGTTTTGGGGTTTAGAGTTGAGGGCCTAAACCCTGAACCCGTTTTTGCGTGTGCCAGTGGAAACCCGTTTCCATCCAGCCGGGACGAGCTCAAACCCGTTTCCCGGGCATTTTTGTTTTTGTTTGGGGTGGGCTGGAACCACACAGCCGATCTGGCCGGAACACTAGCTCAATAGCCGATCCGAAACCCCAGACCCTAAACCCTTTTCCCTCAACCCTAAACTTTAAGCCCTGTTCCCTAAACCGGGATCGACTGGTGGATCTTTAGCAGCTCAAGCGGTGCTCCCGTTGATGATATAACTCCTGCATTACCTGAAGGGCCCTAAACTATGGGAATTATGGTCTACTTCTTCCATTCCTTATCATGGATAGTGCAGGATATAAATCATCAACCGGGGGTTTGGTTACCAAAGGCGTATCATTTGCGGGGAGGCAGAACTCCAGGTATCTCAATATCGGCCGGTTGTGGCTTAGAGTTAGGGTTTAGGGTTTAGGGTTGTGCTCCAGACAAGCCCGTGCAAAAAGGTGACTAGAGCCCTACGGAATGACACGATGCTCGAATGTTTAAAGACATTGACCTCGGATTCCAACTCTTGCATTAATCTAGCCGGAATAGCAAGGAAATGCTATTGGTTAGGGCTCCTGATTAGAGTCGCATTATGATATCTTTATCCCAAAACCGTGCACTAACGATTGTTCCCTAAATTGAGGCCCCTTTTCAATTTTCTGCTTCCCTGACAAGGATTCCTGCTTTCCGCAAGCCAGGGATCCCTCAAGGCTACTCTTCGGGATCCTTTGCATTGCAGGTGTTCCGTATATGAGTTTTTGGAGTTTAGAATGTAGGGTTTAGGGAGTTGAGGGTGTAAGATCAGCAGAGCCGACCCTAAAATCCCTCAACCCCAAATCCCCTAAACCCGAACAACTCTGACAGCCTAAACCCTAAACCTACGGTTGATGATAAAAACCCTGCATTACCCATGATAAGGAATATACCTTAAATCCCATAGCTTCGGGTCGTTAAGGTAATGCAGGAGTTATATCATGAACAGTTGGAAACCCCAAGCCCAGGAAACGCTTCTTCATGACATTGGATGCATCTGGCCGCTTGGCATCCGCCCTGCGAGGGTGAGCTTGAACGGGTGCTTAGGTTTTCCGGGTTTGCCTAAACCCTAAATCCTAGGGCTTTAGGGTTTTCGGCTTTAGGGTTATCGGGCTTAGGGTTGGGGCTCAGCACTTTGGTGTTTATAGGGTGTAGGGCTTGCGGATCTAGAACTTAGGGTTTAGGGGTGTCGGGTCCGGGTAGTCAAATGCTATGCTCAATTAAAGATTTCTTCAAGTCTTTGTGAAGCAAGCTAGGGTTTAGGGTTTAGGGAGGCAACCATCAAGTCCGGCTTCAACAAAAAGGGAGGCAACCAACGAAAGACCTTTACTTGAGGGTCGAGCCGGGGCATTTTGAGAAGACCGTTCACCAGCGTTGATGTTCATATCGCCCTATGGCGTTGAGACCCTGAGCCCTTAGCCCTAGACCCTAAACCATAAACGGTAAGCCCTAAACCTTAAGCCCTAAGCCCGAGACCTGCAATGCGGGCACGTCCTTGCTAAGTAGGAGGCAAAAAAAGGCCCTAGACCCTAAACCCTAAACTGAGTTGTCGGACTCGCCTAGGCCTAAGCCTCCGAACAGACACTGGGGGTCTCCAGCCCGATCGATGGCTGCGTCGTCCCCAACGACATGTCGCAGCAGAAGTCGTAGTTCCGATGGTTTCGGGCTGGATTTGTGTGTTAAACCCCAAACCATAAACCCGAAACCCGAGCCATAATGGGCCTCGGGTGGCCGCCGAAGATCTCTTCGTCATTGGGGTGCATGTACTTATGCCCGGCACTCGTCGGCCCCACTGCAGTACCTATCTAGGAAGCGCTTTAAGGCCAATGTATATATGTTCTACAGACATGTAGATACATAGACCGCGAAGCCGTCACAACGTCTCGAAGTAGTGATTTTCGAACGTGCCTTCTTGTGGGGCAACACCTAAACGCAAGACCGTAATTCCTGACCATTCCGGTGTCTTGCTTCTTTCGTCCCAGCATCTTGCAGCAGACCTTAAACCCTCAACCCCGGAACCCCTAAACCCTCTAAACCTCTAAACCCTGAGCCCCTAAACCGCAACATCCTAAACCCCCAACTCCTAAACCTCAAGACTCCCATTAACCCCATAGTGTGCACTCACTGCAGGAACCCAACAGCTACTGTAATCGGTTTTTGATGCTGCTGCCCACCATCAGGAGGTGTCCTAGGTCCTAAGCCTTCGCCCTAATCCGTAGTCCCTAAACCTACACTCATGGCTACATCACGAAAGTGCCTGCAGCACAACTCTAAAGTATGCTTCTACCCAAGTCATGCTGAGGGAACTCCCTAAACCCTAGACTCCCTTATTATACAGGAACCTACAGATCAACATGAGGTCGTATATGCGGTCACGGCCTAGGATGCGAACAAATCCCTCCTGCTTCGAAAGGTGACGGCCTTGTCAGTTGGGACGAGTTCAGCGTCCTCCTTTCGGAGCGGGGAACTCGTCTATAGACCCCTAAACCCTAAACCCTAAACCCTAAATGATAGGGCTTGAGGGATCCGCTACTGTGCCATCTCATCAGCCTACTCACCCCGAGCCCGGACTTCGCGCCGTCGCAACGTGTTCAGGTTGCTCTGACAGAAAACCCCGAACTTTGCAGCCCCAGCACGAAGCCTCAGCCTAAACCGCAACTCCATCTTCTGATGCATACATGCTTGTCTTCATGCCTGTGTTGATGCATGCATGCTTACGTGCATAGACACACACACGTGCGTACATGCATGCATGCATGCATACATACGTAGGTACGTTCATTCATTCATTCATTCATTCATACATACATACATACATGCCTACATACACATACACATACGCATACACACACATACACACATACACACGCTTTTCGCTTTCGTTGGCAATGAGTCCTGATCGGGCGCAGCCATTGGCTTGCAACTAATTAGGAAGTGAAACGAAGAACAAGGCTGGATGGATCCCTCACATTGGAGAGTAGCTCCTGCTCTCCAACACAATCAGTAAATGGAGCGACTTTCTTGGCTACCTTTAGGCCAGGGCAGTCAACTCGTGACGTGACCAGGAAAGCAGGAATGCCCTTGCTCCAGAGATGCACAACCCCGCGAACAAGGTCAGCAAACAACCGAAGCCGGCGCAGATGAGTCGAGAGAGAACGGTAATGCTTGACAGGAGTAGGCACCCCAAGGGTCTCCAGAAGCCCAGGGAGACAAAATCCATAAACAGTTCCCTCCCCTGAAGTCCAACGGGGAAAATCAAGGAGAGAGGGCTGTCGGAAGCAACTGTCATGCGCCGTCCACTGGACAGACCTTGTGAGCTTTCTCCCACAGAGGCTCTTGTGTTGTGAGACACAATGCAGAGAGATGTCCTCACAGATGGCACACTCAACGAGGTGGACATCCTCGAAGGAAAGCCAAGGGAGGAGAAGGGATCCATCACGGAAAGTTGACGGAGCTCTAGGATGAGCTAGAGCGTCCGGCACTAGCCACTCAGCAAAATCGACTGAGCACATCATATCGGCAGACCTAGTGTGCCACGAAGCCCACTGTACAGAGATATCTTCGTTGCCATCGACCTCTTCAGAGATCGCGGACCGCCAAGCATGTGCGGTGGCCTTGAGGCGAGATTGCTGTAGGCAAACACTGGAGAAGGCCCTGCGCTGCTCGTTGAGTAAGTCAGAGTAAGTATGTATAAATTGCTCTGATCCAAAAATTTCGACGAGGCTATCAAGGACCGTGCCATCAGGTCTGTCGGCCTCCGGGACGTAGCCTGTTGTCTCCCATCGAAGGGAGGGGCCACTGGCAGTGACAGCGGGTAGCATCGAATCGACACCATTTCGGAAAGCGCGGCTGCCTCGTCCAGGCTCAGATGCACACTCTTGCCCGTTTTGGACCAAAGCTGCCAGACAGGTCCGGGAATGTTCAAGATGATTGCAGAGCCTGAAATTCGAGGCAAAATGTCGCATGCAAACCTGACATTGGTTGCCGATGGCGACCTTGCGTGCCTCCCGAACCCTTCCATGCCTTTTGAAAGCATGGTGACTCCAACATCGCAAATCAGGAAAACGCTGCTGGCAGATTGCGCAAACCTGCTCAACCGGCTCGGAGTTCTGTACCTCACCTGAGATCGATGCCCCAATTGACAGGAGACAGCGGAGGAGAAGCCCATGATAGTGTTGAACCTCAGAGAGCCAGAGCTCCTGAAGGAGAGAAGTCTGTTGTGCTTTTCGCAACCATCTTTTCCAGAGCGAAGACGGCCCCTGAAGTACCGCAAGAGTGGCAGCCCAAGAGCCAAGCTCAGTTTGATCCTGCCCGGCCAAGCGAAGGCATTCTGAGAGCCAACTCAAAGACTCCCCGACTTGCACACACCACCCAGAGGCATGATGGAGGATCGCCCAAAACTCCTTGGGGGCAACCCGAACTATGATGGATAAATGTCGGAGCCGTTCTAAATGAAGGAACACTGAAGCGGAGGGCAACCTCGCTGTGGCAAGAATCCTGCCGGCCCCAAGATGACTAGCCTCCTCAAAACGATAAGAGGGGCGGAGCATCTGCCGTGCCATGTGCAGGAGAGTCCCTTGCAGCTTGTTGACAATGGATCCATCGCTAAGGGTCCACGTGCCTGCCCCATAGAAGAGACGGGTTGCAACAAGCGAGTGGAACAAGAGAGACTTCTCTCTGTGCGTGACACTGGGAGCAGCAAAGATAAGTTTCCGATGCTTTCTGAAAGCCTGCCATGCTTGTCCGATGCGGATCCTGACCTCGTGTTCGAGAGAACCTGTCCAATGCAACAGGCCCACGTGTTTGTATTTTGGCACAATCCGCAATCTCGCGTCCGGCCACATCCGTGAGGGCAACGATACAGACGGCGAGGTATCACTAAAAAGATCAACCCGCAGCTTACGCGACCCCTTACCGACAAAAGACAGTAGAGCCTCAGATTTTCCTGGAATCAAGGTTCGGCTGGAGGTGCGCCTTAAGGCACTCATCTACCAGGGCAGCAGCAGCCTGCCTCGTGGCCTCAACCAACCCTTCCGGGGTATTAGCTGACAGCAAAAGCGCTAGGTCATCCATCCAGCTCACGTCGATTGGCGACAGCACATCGTCAGGGGCCGTGTCAGGAGCCAGCGCTCTGTGCCATCCGTCAGACCACGGCAGCCACACTCGCAATCCGGCATGTTGAATTGCATCCCTAACCTTCCTAAGGACAGCCCCGAAAAGAAAGGAAAAGACAACGTCGGCCAGGGAGTCCCCCGGCCTCGTGCCGGACTCGACAACAGCAAGGCCTGACCCGATGGTAAGCCAGCTGTCTGTTTGGAATTCACGTATAACAGAAGATGCCCAGGAAGATGCGCCGGCCGGCACAAGCCGCGAGTCATTCTGAACATATTCCGAGAGCTGGTCGAGATGGTCAGGAGAAAGGGAAAGGGACTTAATGACGGCCGCCAAGTGTTCGTCACTAAGATCACCCCCGTGCACCAGCGGCCTCGCGACACGGTGGAATGCTTCTTTCAAGTCCAAGAACACAAGGGCGACACTCCTTCCCTGCCTTAAATGGCCAGCCTGGAAATCCCTGGCTGCATGTGCTGCAAGTTGAACTGGAAACCCGCGCCTGCCTCCTATCTGTAAGGGGGTGGCAGATGTGTCATACCACTTGCTGCACTTGCTTCTCATCGCCGAATGAAAACACTTCCCGACGACGTTGGAGATGAGCACCCCCCGATAGCTCGAACATTCTTCCAAAGCCCCCTTCTGCTTATAGATCTGGCGGACTGTGCCGCCCTTGAACTGCAACGGTTCTTGTAGACGAAAAGCAACCTTGAGCAGAATCGGATAAAAGGCCTTGGCAAGCGGAGCAGCGTAACTATGCAGGATGTCGGGAGGCATCCCGTCATTGCCAGGGGCACTCCCTGGCCTCGAGGATCGAAAGGCATGCTCAAGCTCACTTCTGGTGGGAAGGTCATCACGGCAAATGTCAAGTGCGTCAAGATCCAGCTCCCGCTGCCGTCGAAAACAGCGCCGAATGAGATCAGTAGGTTGAATCGGCCCACCCTGCTCGACTGAGCTGAAGTGGCGTAGCCATCTGTCATTGGCCTCCTGAGGAGTCGATGCCAACTTCCCGTCCTCAAGCCTGAGAGCCGGGAGTGGAGCTGACCCACGCTGTTTGCGGCGTGGTGGTCCCAGCAACGGCCTCAAGCGCTGGACAACATCCTTTGTGGGCAAAGAAGCCGCCTGCTCAGCGATGGCTGCTAGGCTGGCCCTTTTGTCAGCTCTGAGAGCGGATCGAAAGAGAGGCCGAATCTTTCTGAGATCTGCAACTGCATGTCGCAGCCAAGCGACCCCGCCAAAAAGATCAACGAGAGGTGTAACACAAGTCGACCGAAATGGCTGACCTTGCTTCCAGGCCTGAACAGCGCAATTGACATCCCAGCAAGAAAGAAGGCCACTAGCATAATGCGCCCTGCGGCGCAACCATGTCCGTTGACGCAAGGACCATGTCGTGTCAGAAAAATAAGTCCGCCTTCTGACTGCCCTTTTGACAGGGAAGCGCTGTGCCAGAGCAGTGAGCAAGTGCTCTGAGACAGCATGATAGTGATGATGCGCATCGACGGACCAGGGAATGTTGGGGAGGCCGCTGCAGATCTCTCCGAGAATAGGGCGAGCCTCAGGCTGGCACGCCTGCCCAACATCGAAACGCCTCCGAGGATGACTGAAAACAAGCGTGTCTGTGAGGGAGACTTCGATACATAGTTGAACAGCGTAATGGTCAAGCCCTGTTTGACCGAAGTCAACCTCAAAAAGGACTCGTGAACCGCCCGGTGGCGCCCACCATGTCGATGGCACAAGTATATAGTCAATGCGGGACACTGAAGATCCACCCGGTGCGACCCAGGTGTGACCCGGGCCAACATGGCACTCCCAAAAGGTTGCAGGCACCCACAGGTCTAAACCATTGATGAGGCGCCGAAAATCATCTGGTGGGGGGTGTTCAGATTCCCAAACATTAGACCCAATCCTAGGGGGGGCAGAATCACAGATCCTAGAGTTGAGGTCTCCTAACAGAACAACCTTATCACCCTTCGCCGCAGAAAGGAGAAAATCGGTCGTCTGCTTCCACCACTTCCCCCTATCAGGATGCGCAGTGGTTGGGGAGTGACACGTCACAAAGACAATCCTGAGTGAGCCTCTTGTGAAGCGAACAACAAGAAGGCGTGGGGTCCACTGCAGGACACGAAAGTCCTCAACGTCAAAGTGGATAGGCTTGCCGCCACACCAACCAAATGGTTGTGTCCTGGAGAACCACAGCTCGACGCCCAAACAACCTTTGGAGTCACGGGCTGACAAGAACCGTATGTGGCTGGAAGACACAATAGTGGAGGTGTGGCGTGCCCGGGTCTCCTGAAGCCCTGCGACAACACAGCCTATCCTATCAAGCTGATCTCTGACAAAGGGAACCCTGTTGGGCAGGGAACCAGCAAGGTCCTCACAGAGAGACTGGACATTAACAGAGACAAGCAAAGCTTTGACCCGAAAGGGAGCCTTGGATTCTTTGTCGTCACTGTCAGTCCGAATCTGATTCCCAAAAAAGGCAAAGTGATTAAGCTCGACCTCCCCAATTGTATCGTTACCGTGCAGATCAACAAAGCCCTCACCGCGAAGGGTAGGCCAGTGATTTGGGTTGCGGATCGCAGCAACGGTCAGCCAAATCCAAGGAAGATGCCCCTGGTGCTGCCAGTGACACAGCTGCTCGAGATAGATCGGGATAATGGTACTACCGACTTGGTGAGCACCAGCAAGGACATCAGCGAGTTCATTATATGGATGACCTTGATGTCCTCGTACATGCTGGATGGAGTCTGAGACAAAACCTCCCAGCATTTCAAGGATCTGGACAAGCGATCGACACGCTGACACAATGTCTGAGGAGACTGCAGAACCATACAGACCACTAGCCTGCCTCGTGGCAACAAGGCAATCACTAAAGAGAGCCCTTCTGATTTCGGAGGAGACTCCAATAAGCCATCCTATAGCCCAGAAAACTGCGCTCCGCTCTCCGTTCACAGCTGAATGCTCACGAGCGCCGATGTGCCATTGCTGGCCAGGCAAGCAAACAGGACCCCTTGCCCAGGCAAGGATAAAACTCCCAATCTTGGAGTGAGCAATGGCAACAAAGGACCATGCGCTGACAGTCCCGTCAAACGAGCCATCTGTGTAAACATCAATTGCTTCAACTCCAGCCCGACAACCTGCGGAGAAGGGAACATGCGCAGCAAGAGCTGCGACAGTAGAGGCATGCAAGCGAATCCCTGCAGGCAGTACATGCGGTGCACGCCAGTGTTGCCCTAAAAACAAGGCAACAGGCTCGTAAAGGCAGGGTGCTGTCATGCCAACCCGAGAAACATCAAGGGAGATGTGGCCTGGTAGCGCATCGGCGAGGCTAATTGGAACTGCGGCGGCTGTCCAATTCCCCCCTACTGCGCTCCCGGCGTTAGCTCCAGGTCGGGCATTGCTCTGAGTGCCGCTGGTGGAATGACCTTCAGCGTCAGCAGTAGAGCCGCAGAAGTGCTCACACAAAGTTTCTACAAGGACTCTAGTCTCGTAGAAAGCTAGGTCGCCAACCCGTCTGGCTACCTCCTGCAGAAGAGTGGGGCCTGCAGCAAGAAAATCCCGATCAACGGAACAACGCTGATTGCGTGCAGGAGTGGGCACAGCGCGCATGGCTGCGGCTGTCAGCCCTCCCCTGATGGCTCCTAGACCGAAATGACCGTCGACAGGAGCAATGTCTCCAAGGTTATTGGCAAACGGACTAAAATCGTCACAG